GAGAAACTCCACAGTTAATAATTTATTTGCCTGTGAGTTTCCAAATGTTCCTAAGCACAACACTAACAAACATTTCATCTCCATTACACTCTCCAAAATGGAGACACATAGATTATAGTACCATCCAAGGGATAGAATTCTCACTAGTACTGATTTGTGATATAGATCTAGTGTTTATAAACATCAGTGATTTTATAAGGTGAAGAAATTTGAAACATAATAATATACATTAAAAATGAAGTATAAGAGAACACTCTAGTGTGTCTGTGGGATCTTCTTACATTCTCTGTACAATGCTGCTTAGGAAGTTGTTTGCTTACCACATTGATGGCCTTTGCTGGGAGTAACAAGATCATTTTCTGAATGATAGGACACATGTGAAAACATTCAGCACCACCTCATTTGCCTTTGCAGGACAAATCCATTAAAGCACAAAGCCAAAGTATAAACAAATTCTTCCTTAACCTTTAGAAACTTCAAGAGACAGTCTTTGTTTCTACAGACTACAAATAAATATGTGTAGGTTGCTGTATTTCAAGCAGAATTTTATGGGAATGTTCTAGTTTACTGTGTGGTAGATGTCTTCTTTAAAACAAACAAACAAACAAACAAAAAAAAAGCTCAAACATATTTTCCCAAATAATAAAAAAATACTATTAAACTTGGCAGATGTTGCTCATCAAACTGTCCCAAAGGAGTTTGAGTTCTGTGTTCTGAGTTATCCTTATTTAAGTATTCCATTAAAAATGTATATTAAAATTGTATATAAGCTGTTGTATTTCAGGTACGTAGTGAATGACAAAAGGCTACACTCTGAAGTAAGGCAGTGATTGGGTCTCACCACAGATGTTACTATAGTCACAGGGCCTCTTCTTCCCTTCTGTATGCCAGACTAACTGGTCTACAAGTTTCTGGGCATACGTCTGTGTCTGTCTCCCATACCTCTGCAAGAGCCCATGCTTTACAGACACATGCTTCCACATGTGTCTCAACTCAGGGCAGCATGCTTGTGTAGCAAGCTTTTCACCCACTGGTCCATCAGTGTTAAACATATCCTTTTTAAAAAAAAAAAAATTATGGGCCAGGTTGCTAAAAACATACCTTTAGTGAAATGAACCTCATTTTATTTATTTTCTAACTATAGAAGTGGTAAAAAGTCAATTCCAAAATAATCAGAAAATACAGATAACAGCCAAGTAGATCACAATCTCTTCCAGTGGAAATGAGAGGCACAAACCCTGTCAGCTGTGTATCTTCCCTGATTTCCCTTGTCTGTATGTGCTTTATAAAAACTAGGCTCACAGCATGTATGATATAACCTATTCTTAAATACAAATACATGTAAAGTTTTCACTTTAATAAATTATTTCAACATAATTTACATTCTACTGTGTAATTTTTAAAATTTTCTTTAACCAGTCTTCCATTGGAATGCATGTATTTTTTAACTTTAGGAAAATTATTATATTTATGTTAATATAATATATAGTGGAAGTTTTATAAATTGGTCATTTTCTTAGGTAGACTCCCAAAATTAGAATTATTAAAACTTCAGGGAAACAAACCTATTAACCTTGTGACCTATTTGTCAGAATTCCTTCAAAGGTTCTTAACTATTTTGACTTCATGGGTAGTCATTGCTTGGTGCCTTTCATAATATGCTCATTTTGGTTAAAGCCAAATCATATTAGTAGATATTATCAGATTTCTTAAGCCTTTTGTGTTTATCCATTAAAGAGCTCATTTGTTTGTATTCATATTTGTGTATGTGTGTGTGCGTGTGCATGCATGTGTGTATATATGTGTGTATGTGCATGCATGACTTTGTGTGTTTGTGCATTGTGCATATGTGCATTGTGTGTGTGTGTGTGTATGTAGGTGCGTGTTTGTGTGTGTGTGTCTGTGTCTTCTGTGTGTCTGTGTGTGTGCTGTGAAAGTGTCTCCATGTGCTAACCAGGCTGACTTTGATCTTCATGAGTAATTTTTTCCCATATTTCAGGTGTGTTACTCTATTTTGATTTCTCAAATACTTAATGGAATGTTATCATTTTCATTACCTATACCTTTAGCTCTTTTCAGTAAGCAGTATTTGTTTCCTATTGCTTTAGTGCTCCTCATATCATAAATACCAATCTTGTTTTTCCATCTTACCACCTAAATTTTCCTTTTGGTAAATGATATTGAAGTTATTAAATTTATTGTTATACTGTTTTCATTTCTTCTTTTTTAAATATTTTTATTTAATTTTATATAACAAAGTCCAATTAAATGAAAACAAACATTTATACACAATATTTTGGAATTTGGGCGTCATTCTTTCCAAACTACTTCCTGCTGGTAAGGGGCGCTGTCTTGGGGGATTCGAAGAAGATTCAGTTATCCTGGCTGTAGTCTGTAGGGCTGTTTTGTCCAGCTGTTTTGAATGTAGGATCAGCTTGTTCTCTGTTTCAGGCGGTCTGGCGTGATCAAACCACATTAGTCTGGAAGGAATCCACATCTTTTCATTTTCTGTGGAAACAAAAATAGAAATCCTTTTCCCCAGTAACTTGTTCTTCAAGTTAATTTTTGGAGTCAAAGCATTTTTTTTTTAAATTTATTATTTTACATGTCGATCCCAGTTCCCTCTCCCTCCCTCCCTCCCTCCCTCCCCTCCAGCCCTCCCTTTTCATTTCTTAAGCATAGTAATAAACCTTATATACAGATATAGATAAATGATTCATATATGTGTTAAATTATTTACCTCTACACATTCATAAATCAGAAAGCTCAGATCTAGATAAGTCAGATTATTTCCTCTTAAACCAAGTAATTTTCTGGTTCTATGTTTTAGGATAGATTTATCTTATTTCAAGGACCATATTGGTAGCTACTGTTATATGAGATGAATTTGGGAGGATGCCAGCATACAAAAAAATTACATGGAGAGTTACTAATTATGAAAACTTGGCCATTACTTAGACTTGTTCCTAACTAGTGCCTATAACTGAAATATACTTTCTAAACTGCCGTTCTCTGTCACCTTACTCTGTACTGCCCTTCCTGCACCTGGCTGGCAACACCCCTTTTCTTCCTCAGCTCTGTCAGTCCCACCTAGGCCTCCTGCCTAGCTAGTGACTGCTTAGCTTTTTATTAAACCAGTCACAATGACACATCCCCACGCAGTGTGAAGGAATACTCCACAACAGTTATGTTGCTGTATTAATTTTGGGTTCATTCCTATATGCCAGGTACTATTTTTAAACATTTTAATTGAACATTTTTAATGTATTTAATTTTCATTGCAACTTTGTTAAATGAGGCTACATTTTCATGAATATTTGTAAAATAACTGATTAAAGTTAAACTTCAATGAGGCTCAATGGCTTGCTTCAAACTACTGTATTAACAGGATAGAGACATAACTGCAAGTCCTGTGTGTTCAGATTGCGTTAATTGAACAGCTGTGTGTCTTTAGGACTGATGGCAATAGAAATATTAGCATAACTAAGTTTATGATGCATTTCATTTTTTTAAAAACACTATCTTCCAAGCTCTGTTGGCTAAATTATGTGCCTCTTTTCCAGGAAAAGCAAGGGTAATTATGAAATGTTTAGACCTAGAATAATTCCCTTTCTTTTATTTCCTGTGGAAATTAGAATTGTCTATACCTCTTTTCTGTTAACTCAGCAAATATTTTCCTCTCTTTACTAATGAATGAAGTATAATATTAGATGAAAGCAACATGTTTTGAAGGCTTTATTAAAAATTTTGATAAAATTTGCTCTATATATGTACACTTATACATTATACATGAACAAAGACAGAGGAAATTCTATATGACAATTCCAAATGTTCTGCCTACCTCTGTGTTAGTATTGGTTACTAAAGATTTTAATAATATATGGCTTTTTGAATTTGAAACTCAATCTCTTTAATATATTTGCATTATCTTTATCTATCTGGAGAATGTCATACAGAAATATCTAATTCATGAAAGTCAGCATATCTGAATTTGAAACTTGGGAACATACAATTGAATTGCTGTGTATTTTCTTAGGTCATCAAAACAAACTTCCATTATTACACAACTTTAATTTTATCATAATGTTTATGTTACTTGCAAAAGTAAACACTGTGGTAGTTTTCAAACAAGGTAGTTTTTATTAGCTTCCCCAAGTGTTTACCTAGCTGTTGAGGCTTTCCCTGTTTCATGCTTTGATTAATGGCCCACTGGACTTGTTCCAGAGCATACTGATGATGGTCAAGTCACTTTCAGTGATGATTTATTCATTGTGCTTGAGACTCCAAAGTAAGATTGTTCATATGCACTGTTACGCATTTGCAAATAACATCAGGATTATAATTTTAAATAGTTTTCCTAGGGAATTCTTTTTTAATCTTAAGTGTTTGAGAAAGACAAAATATTGGTTTATTTTAAATTGTATGTAGTATTAACCACAGTCTTGTAGTATTTGAAAGCATGCCTAGGAAATTACTTTTATAAGTAAATGTGTTTAATTTTGATTTTTAATGAAACCTGAAGGTAATATACTTTAATAGAGCTTCAAGGGTATTTTAAAATATATTTTAATGTTTATAATTCCCTCTGGGAATAACCCCTACTTACATACCCCCCATTGTAATGCATGAGTTCAAAATGGAAAGCACTGACATATTTGGTTATATTTTAAAATAAAGAAAATAGGGATATGGCTAATCTTTGTGGCTTTTAAGGAAAAGATCTTACTTTGTATGATAGGTCTGTATCATTTACCTGTATCTCTAAACCATACCTTATCTGGAGAAAAACTACTGATTGTCAATGATGAAAAGAAGATACAGTAGTATGATTCCAGGAAGAATTTAAATAGAATGAATGTAAGTGTGATTATGAATGAACACAATGGAGAGGTTCATAACATTGTTGTCTCCTTACAACCTAAGACAGATGAAGCATCGCCTACTTTTAAGAGTAATTTGGTAGACATGAACTTTCCCAAAGCAAAGAAATCCACCTTAAAGTACTCATTTTTTTTAGCACATGTACTAAAATTGAGATGATAAAAAGGAATATTATCATGGTCCCTTTATAAATATGATGCACAAATTCATGAAGCAGGCTATGTTTTTACACAAGGAATAAATGATCACAGAAGAACTAACCAAAGGAGGGAGACCACAACAAGAAAGAAACAGGAATGAATAAACCCTATTTAAGAATAACTTTCATCAAGGCTACTTTAAATGTCATTCCCTTATAATGAGATTGATAACTAACTTATCTGCCATCATAGAGCCCTCATCTAGTAGCTGATGGAAACAGAAGCAGACACCACTGCTAAACACTGAGACAAACTCCTGGAATCAAGTTTCAGAGAGGGAGGAGTGATATGAAGCTACAGAAACCCACAGAGACAGCTGACCTGAACAAGGGAAACTAATGGACCCCCAGACTGATAGATGAGAAACCAGCATTGGACTGACTCAGACTGCCTGACGTGGGTCTCAGTTAGAAGGCCTGGGTAGTCTAACAGACCTCTGACAGTGAAACCAGGATGTATCCCTGGTGCACGAACAGATTTTAGGAACACATTCCCCATGGAGGGATATTCCTTTAGCGTAGAGGCCCAGACCCTACTCCAAATGACTTGCCAGATTTTGATGACCTCTCCTGTGGAAAGGGGAGGGGGGGATGAGATGGGAGGAGGTATCAGGAGGCATGGGAGGGAGAGGGACTTGGGATAGATATGTAAAATAAGAAATATATATATATATATATATATATATGTATATATATATATATATATATATTATAGTTAAACTTAGTGAATTGGTGAAATATCTTTTTAACATAGTACTCAAAGTTATAGCTATAGCAACAAGATAACATAAGGAGATCAAGGGGATACATATTGGAAAGGAAGAAGTCAAACTTTCATTATTTGCATATGATATGGTAGTTTGCATAAATGACCTGAAAAGTCCTACCAGGGAAATCCTTCAGCTGATAACACACCCAGTAATGTGGCAGGTTACAAGATTAACTTTTTAACAATTCTATTGCCCTCCTATATTTAGATGACAAACAGGCTGAGAAAGAAATCAGATAAATATCACCCCTTATAATAGCCACAAACAACATAAAATATTTTGAGGTAATTATAAGCAAACAAGTGAAAGACCTGTATGACAAAAACTTTAAATTTTTAAAGGAAGATATTAAAGAGAATATGAAAAAATGGAAAGATCTCCCATGCTCTTTCATAGGTAGAATCAGCATAATAAAAAGGGCAATCTTACCAAAAGCAATCTACTGATTCAATGCAATTTTCATCAAAAATCTTCACAGACCTTGAAAGAACAATACTCACCTTTATATGGAAACAGAAATATCCCAGGATAGCCAAAACAATCCTGTACAATAAAAGAACTTCTGCAGGCATCATTGATGGCTATCATCGACCATTTCAGAATGAAATGAGAATTAGAATACATTGAATGTTATGAATATTTCAATAAATCTTACTCTAAAAGTTATCAGGCAAGTGGGAAGGCTTTTAGGCATATGGGAGGGTCCTGCCTACATGTCAGCTTACCTGTAAGAAAATATCATCATGTTCTTGGTAATAATCAAGTCAATTAAAATGTATGTGTTTGACCAGGTGCCTTTGATTTTCTTACCTTTTATTTTAAAACCTTTCTGTAATATGAGGGCCTTACCCAGTTAAACTTATCTGGTTAACTTTATAAGTAAAAACAAATCCAACTAAGTATAGGGACTTAGAGTATAGATTTCAAAACTCAGTTTCCTAGATCTGTTTGTTAGCTTATCTCTATATACAAGTAAGATTTGAGTATCACACATGATTTTTTTTTCATATGTAGTGGAAAGTGTTCATGTGCAGGGGTGCTATATACACAGGGGAGGCCATGAAGAAGACATTGGATGTCCTGTTCTGTGTCTTTGCCTTAGTCTCCATTCCCTTGAGACAGGATCTCTCACTGAACCTGAACATAGTCTAGCTGCTAGCAAGACCCAGTTATCTCAGCCCCACAACTTTGGGATTACAAGTGCATGTGACCACATAGTTTTTCAAAGTGTCTTAGGGATTAAAACTCAGGTCCTTATGCATTAACAGCATGTTCTCTTGCCAAATGACTCATCCCTTTGGCCCCCACTTGATGTTTTTAAAATCAGTGACCATAAATAAGAAAGGAACTCCTGACTTGATTTGTAGGAATTATGAAGTAATGCAGGCAGTTCCTTAACACACTTCCTGAAACATGATTGGCGCTGAGTATCATTATTTTTCATCATTTATTGTGTTTTTATTTTAGAGACTATTCTAATTACAAGCTTTCTTCCTTCCCTTTCTTCCCTCCCATATACCCCATTCCTCCTCTCCTTCACATATATATCCTCCATCTGCCTTCCTTCCTTCCTTTCTTTCTTTTTGTCTTAGCTTCCTGAGACAGGGTTTCTCTGTGTAGCTTTGGATCCTATCCTAGCACTCGCGCTGTAGACCAAGCTGGTCTGGAACTCGCAGAGATCTGTGTGCCCTGCCTCCTGAGTGCTAGGATTAAAGGCATGTACCATTGATTGGATTTAGCCTCTATTTTCCATAAGTTGTTACTGCATGCATAAATATATACATATATGTGCCTAAATATAACCAATTGAGTCCATACATTTGTATGCATATTTTCAGAGCTGACTATCACTGAACAATCAATTGATGTCCATTGCCCTGGGGAAGCCCACCTCTCCTGCTCCCAGCTTTATGTATTTGCCTGTAGGTTTTCGTGTAATATTGAGTCTTACTGGGTATTTCCCACACCCGGTTTGGCATATCCATTGTTATCATCCTTGTTCAGCTCACATTTGGCCAATCATGTTGTTGAGGCCTTACTGATGTAGCTTCTGGTTGTTATTAGGAGACATCATGTCACAGAAAAATCCCTAGTCCTCTGGCTGTTGCAATTTTTCCACCCCTTCTTCCTCAATGTTTCCTGAGCTCGGATATGGGAATGTTTTGCAGATGTATCCATTTGGCCCCAGTTCCACAATTCGCATATTGATTGTTTTTGGTTTTCTGTAGTGGTCTCTATCAGTTTCAAAGGGAAGATTCATTGATGAGCAGTAAATGTTACACTTATCTCTGGGTTTAAGGACAAATGTTTATACATTATTGTTAGGGCTTGTGTTTGTTTAATAAATTAGTGATTGATGATTCTCCTCCAATAACCATGATATCTCTAACACTGAGTAGTTAGCTAGGTTTCCAGTTCCAAGCATGGTTCCCCTTCACTGAATAGACCTTAAGTTCAAGTAGAGAACACTTGGTTACTTCCAAGGTATATGTGCCATTACCGTGCCTGAAAATTTATCTTGCCATGCTGGTCAGTGATGTGGTTCAAAGGCGTGACATATAGGAAGTGCTGTTGGTTTCCCCCTTCTTTGAAATATTGCAGCATGGTGCCTTCAAAGATAGTTAACAGGGTGATGACTTTCAGGTCACATCCAGCTCAGAGAACTCTGTGCCGTGTTTCTAAAGTTCATGGTGCCTTTAGCAAGATGAGCTTATCTTCTATCTCTAGTTGGTAACTAAGAATAATAGCAATGGCCTGGGTGTTTTGGGAGACTTTTAGACAGCCATGATTAACAGCCTAAAAGACAGTGCCTCTTGACTGCTATTGGGACTTTTGTTGTGTAGTCATTGGCTCTTGGATTAAGTACAGTTAACCCTGATGAGAAAAGTTCATTGAAACTATTATGCATATGTATATACTAAATTATAGACTTAATGAGTTTGGGGAGGTAAATATTTAATCATATTATTATTATTTTAGACTAAGATGCTTTCTTCAGATGTTTGTTCTTAATTATGCTACATATTCTCTCAGCTCGTTCTATACCCTATTATATATATGTCAGTAATATTTAATGCCTTTTGCTATTTTATATCATTATATTAAAAATAGTGATGTTTTTATTAATAAAACACTAGGAAGTCCCATATTTAAAATGATTCTTTCGAGAAGATTATTTTGCTAATACACAATTTATTTAGCAGATATTTGAAAACCTAGTACTCATGGATAGAAGAGTGAATTAGCTACTTTTCTTGTTGCTGTCACAAAATAGAAGGAAATACACAAGGAAACAGTTTTATTTACAGTCACAGTTTGAGAGATGCAGTCTTTCACAGGGAAGGTATGGTAGGTGCTGTAAACATCAGATAGCTGCTCACGTTGCTTCTTCAGACAAACAGCAAAGGAGAAATGAAGGCTAGTGCTCAGCCGCCTTTCTCCATTCTCTTTCTGTTTATTTGCCCCACACTACAGCAAAATGGGTTAATGGCATTCACCTTTAGGGTGTGTCTTATCTCCTCACTTGTGTATCTCTGGAAACAACCTCAACTGATGTTTAAGATTACCCTTCATAAGCTCAACCCTTATCAAACACATCACTTTAAAATAGCACATTTTACTCCTGTCCTCTGAAGTCCTGTGTATTCAAAATACATTTAGTGCAACTTCAAAAGTCTATGTAGTCTAAATAATCTTAATATTGTTCGAAACCCATAGGTTTCTAAGACTTGAGGCAATCTTTTAACCAGGAGGCCCCTAGAAAGCCAAGAATTAAGTTCTACCATTCAAGGGAACAGATTGGGCATCCTTAATCCTAATGGAAAGGATAAGAATGTAGCAAGGGAAATTATAACCACAGCAAGAGCTGCAGCATAGCAAACACCAAATGTTGAAGATCTATATCCAACGCCTAGGCTTATGATTGACGTTGTGTGTCTTATTGAGCTTTAGTTGACCCATCTCTCTAGCTCTAGTGTCTGTATCTTCTCTTGGACCAGATCTACTCCATGTCTGCAGCTTTCCTAGGTAGCTGTATCATATCTAATTGTCCTAGTAACTCCAAAATCTTGGGTTCTCTATCAGAACTTATATTGATGCTTCAAGGATTCACACCACATTGTCTCAGTGCCTATGTAAAGGAAATCTGAAACAGCAAAGTGCTACCTGTCCTCAGCAGCTTTGGGCCACTGTGGTGCAGGCCTTTATTACTTTGACTTTCATTTTCAATGCCTGCAAAATGGGCACCATCCTGACAACAT